AAAAGCACAACACTGGCTGGCTTCGTGTAAACACAAGAGCTGTCACATGTATCAGAAGTCAGTCATTGCCTGGTTGAAGTTTGTCAGTGCGGTAGCATATATGAAACATATGCTGACAGCTGATGAGCATACAGTTAAATGTTCCTGCATGGCTGTGCTGTTATTGTTCTCTGCACTTACGTCATGTGCGTCCGTGTGTGTGTGTGTGTGTGTGTGTAATGTGTATGTGTAGCACATCTTGTCATCCTTATCATTACTGACTTGCTTTTCTTTTGACATGGGAAGGAAATGAAACAAGGGAAAATATAATCAAAGGGCTGAAGACTGACTGGAATACAATACATGCCCTTGTATTGGCACGGAGAGGCACTCACGCTCACAAACATATCCACACACAGCGTAATCGCATCTCCAGAATGAAAGATGTACGTGTGTCACTTAGAACAGTAATTTATGCAGAGCCTTAATTGAAAATTGTTATCAAAATCAATTTGGCAGCCTTTAATAGGATGAGAGCAAAGAGGCTGCAAGAGAGTCAGTTCCCTGGATGATGCATTTGTTAGAAAGCGAGAGACGAGTGTGTGTGAGAGAGCGAGTGTTTGTGTATCTGTATACGTCTGTCAGTCTGCAACTGTGCTCTGAATATTGTGTCTGAATGTGTCCGGGGAGGTTTTCACACTGGGTTTGCATTTGATTTCTATGTAGAGTTAGGTCATAATAAAGAAAAACCCCATTGTGACTTGATTGGAGCTGACAAATTCTCATTAGGCTCTCCCCATGGATCCATAATTATAAACCTTAATAATACATGTTGAAGTGTGAATACGTTTAACGTGTATGTGAGTGTGTGTGTGTGAGGTTTCTGGATGTACAGTCATCTAGAAAAACTAAAGTACTAGAGAGAGCATATCTAGTTCTTTTACACTTCTTTTTTTTTTTTTGTAACGTGTGATCTGATATTATTGACTGCTGCTCGGAAAAGTGACAACGAAGCGATTAATGTGCGAACGACAGCTCCATCGTTTGTCCCTGTTCCGTCTGATCGTGTGCAAAGACTCCAGGTGTTGCAGGTGTGAAAGTATGTGTTTGTAAAAGCGGAATATAAAAGAGACAAAAGAGATGCTGCAGCTGTGCTTACAGACTCTGCATGTGTGTGTGTTTGTGTGTGTGTTTGTCTTCACTTACAGTAGGAGCAGCCATAGACTTCTATGCGCAGACCGATCCGTCCCTCCTCGCTCCAGTCCAGCGGGATGAGCCTCAGGAAGCGAGTCACAATTCCCTGCTGCAGCTCATGGCGAACTGCGCTCTCCGAGTTGGAGTTCCCGGAGAAAGCCTACGAACGCAAACAGTCACGCACAGACACACATACACACACACAAACGCACAAAATGAAATTAAATACATCAAAGCCACGAGCCTGCAGTCAAACAAGCAGCTCCAGGACTTAGAACAAGAGTATTTGTTCCACTCACCACATCCTGCCCTAAAGGTGCACACTTACAAAACATACAAAATAATTATGAGTCTACATATCTAATATGCCCTCCATAAGACAGTCTAACTGCGGGGGATTTCAAGAGGAAATTGCATATTGTGTTCAACTCGAAGCGCATATAAGAAACTCCTTGTTCGCGTCAATTTATATTTAGACTGCTTCCCCAAAGATTAAATTGTAGGTGATGAGGTTTACAGTTCCTTGGCATGTTAGCACTGTGCGCAACACATCTGTCTGAAATCCCAACATCCCCAGGAAGACGAAACCACATTCACACTTAGTCACAAAAGACCCTAATGAACCCCATTGTGACAGGGGGAGTCCTAATGACTCAACCCAGTTGAAACTGAAACTCAAGTGTTAATGGCTCCTAAAGAATATAAGTATCTGGAACTCCCAACTAGTCAGTCAGAAGTGATGAAGCCTTTTGGATGAGAGGTGAAAAGTCTTCAAGAAACTCCAGCAAGTCCAGTTGCTACAGTTAAACTACGAGAACAACCTCTGACATGCAGTATACAAACCAGCCTTGAGTTACAAGAACTCCCCCAAAAGAGAACCAAACCTCTCAGATGCAACATTTTTTTTTTTTTTTTTTGGAGTGGGACTTGAAAACAGACAAACAATTAACATTTCTAATGGTGCGACACATTCTAATTAAAACCTAATGCATTTTCAATGGTCATCAGTGATTGTAAATGTATGTGCGCAGCTCTGCCGTGGCCAGTGCAGCTGACTTCATCTGCTGTGACTGATTGGGACATGTGTGAATGTTTTGTATTTATCATTGTTTGGCAGGATGAGCTGCTGTCATGAGTTTTTTTTTTTTTTTGCATAATTATACTGTGCATGGATTTTGGTGTCACATCTCAATGACAGACTGTTGGAGTACACCTCCTGACGGTGCATTCATTCTTGATTTTAAATTGACTGTGTTTTGATTTTTTTTTTTTTTTGGGATTGTTACAGAGGGGTTGCTGAACGTGTGAATGATGTCTTCCAATGCCTACTAAAAAAAGGTTTCTTGTTTACATAGTGAGAAACAAGACATCTGCTTCACGGAATAGTATTGAAACCTACAAATTCTCACTGGTTAACATGAGCTCCTGTTTCAACTCCTTTCTTCTTGTTTGCTTTCTCCTTTCCACCTCTCTTCAGCTCCTCCTGCTCAGTGTCTCTCCCTTCACTTGACCTGGCACATGATGGGGAGAACCTCTAACCGCCCACTAATCCACTTCACCACAGTCCCTGAACTATTTTCACTTCTCCGCTTTCCCCTCCTTCCTCCTCCGAAATAAACATAAACACCACAACCTTCCATCCTGGGCTTTTTCTTCTACACACACACATGCACGAAAAAGAAAAAAAAAGTCGTCGCAAACCACTGGGGAGAAGCATCATTAATAGCGTAGCAGGTAACTAGACGAGAGCAAGACACAAGACAGCCATGTGTTACTCCAGATAAGACACAGAGTGGGCAGGGCAGAGGATGAGTGAGAAGAAAAAAAAAAAAAGAAAAAAAAACACTCCTGCAAAGAGAGTCTGCTTTGAGCCGACTCCTCGGTGACCCAAGTATGTACCCCTGAAGATATGCTATCTGCAAAGGGGGAGATGGTCAAGAGTTCACACTAAGCTCAGAGCCACTGAACCTCCTCTGTAGCGAGGGAGTGGACACAAGGTGAACAGTATTTCTGTATCCTCTGTGCCTTTTCTCTTACTTTCATTTTTAATCTTTATTTATCCGGAAAGGTTAACTGAAAACACAAACGCTTCTTCTTTTTTTTTTTCTTCTTTTTTATACGAGTGCCCTGCTTCAAATTCACAACACCCCACATGACTCATCGGGGAGCCCTTTCACAGCCCCGACTGCAGCGTCTAAGCTCGGCAGGTGCTCACGTCCTGGGTTAAGTGACTTGCTCAAGGGCAGCTTTGGTGTTTCTGAGAGAAAGCTGCGACATTCACTCGGCATTGTATGTATGTCACCAACCAATAAAAAAAAAAAAGACATTTATATCTAATACAGGTCATGTGAGTACTTTCAATCCATCCATTATCTATACAATATACTTAATCCTCACTAGGGTTGCAGGGGGGCTGGAGCCTATTCCAGCTGACTCAGGGCAAAGGCAGAGGTCATCAGTCTATGACAGGGCTACACTTATACTCCTGTTCCACAAAACCGGTTCCAGTGCTACTGCCTGACTTAGCACCAGTTCTTTGTGTTTCCACTGCCTAGCACTGGCTCCAGGCTCTCAAAACTGGTGCTTAGCAAGCACCAGCTCTTTGCTGGGCCACAGCTAAGCATGAGTACATCAGGGGCTGGGGGCGGGGTTATCATGACCACCGAGACCGGTGAATGAATGGGACACACAAGCGGTGATTTGTGTCGTTTTTCACCAAGACGTCCCTGGTCCGATCACAGATGTATTGGAATGAGTCCTGGGACACACGGAAGTTCTGCCCTGTGTGACGGAGCGACGCCGTCAGTAGCCACAGGTAGCGGGCTAGTATGCTGATGCGGCGCACCTGCCGCGTAGCACACACACACACGACACACACATACGCACACCCTAGTTCACTCCCTTCCGTTAGTATCGTGACCAAGGGTGCACACTTGCAGCGATACTCTCTCTCTCTCGACCATACACGCATGCACGCATACACTCACACACTCGCACTCACCATCCGTTGCAGTGGTGGGCAGCTGGCTGGAATGCGCCGACATGGTGACGGGCAAACCCGGGCCGTACCACCAGCCGGCTTAAATGGTATGGGCCCGGCTTGTCAGTCACATGACATGCATTAGTTTATTTTTTTTCCCTTTACACATTATTCCTTGGATTAATGATGGGTTATTGTAGGAGACCACAGACTGTATAAAAGATGGACGTAGCAACCGGCCCTGAAAAATGAAGCCAACCCGGAAGTGTCAAAAACCTACGTCCGCCAGCTGCTGGTTCCAAAAAGCCCTGGCTCCCATAGACTTGAATTGGAAAAGAAGTGATCGCAGATCACGAAATACTGCATTCCTACAGCTCAGGATTTTTTTCTTATTAGTTTTCATAATCAAATTCAGAGATCAGGTGGCCAATCTGAAAATAAATCAATACTGAATTTTTAAAAAATCGTCAAAATTTTGTGGGGCAAGGGGCGGCTGGCTTGATTGACAGTCAGCAGCGACGATGCAGAGGAAGCGAGCAGAAGGCGGTAGATGTGGGCGGGCAGAGAGGGCCCGCCTCTCAATCCGTCTGACCAATCACTGCTCCTATGGCTCCGCCCCCCTCCGACGATTTTTGCCTCACTGGCTCCAAAAATCCAAGATGTCAACCAGGAAGTAGCAAAACCCTGGCTTCATTTTCTCAGTGGAGAAACCAACGGGTGACGTCATACAGTCTATGCGGGAGACCTTACCCCTGTCCCCTGGGTAATAATTTTGTGTTTCCCATAGAAGGGGTGAACTGGAGTGAAACTGTTTGTTAGAATAGGAAACCATGTTTATACAATTTTTGTATTTTTGCCTGAAAAAGGGTACGCCCAGTGGGAGGGGCTTGGCCTTTAAAACTGAGGGCTCTGGGCCTGATTGAGTGTGGGAGTAGTTGGAGTTTGGAGGCATTGGTAGTGTTGGTCGGTGAATTTTTGAGAGCTAGAGTTAAAGGAGAAGTTGTGTGTATATAGTCTTGTAGATTTGTATATAGAGTTTTTCTTTTCTTTGCTTATTTTTTTTTTACAATTGGGTTTTTGCCCTTTTTTTGCACTGTGTAAATATTCTATTTCACTGCTGCACTTTGGAGAGGCCTGACAATAAATTTAAACACCACAGCTGACGACTACGCCATTGTTTTCCCCCCAGTTTGGGAAAATTGTTGGGTGAATCCTACCAGCAGCACCACAGTGGGGGAAAACAGTACTTTTATTACTTCGGTGTACTTCTCATGAGTGCATCGTTCATAGAAAAGACCGCATGAGAAAAAAATCACTCGGTTTCATCTTGGACAAATCTGACATTAGAACATCCTAGTTCACTCTTTTTAAAGTAATTTTTGGTCGCATGTCGTTGAGCGCACTGCAGCCACCAACAGCAGCTACCGCAGCCTGCAATGTGGGGCATTCTTGGAACATTGGAAATTGTACCGTCTATCGATAAGAAAATGTTCAGCAAGTCATATCTTTTGCCTGTGACAAGGTGAGAAGTGCAAACAAATGAGAAAGTTGGTCACACTGGTAAAAAAGTAAGTCTGGAGTCCTGTGTGGACTTCTGTGTGGCGCAAGCATTGTTCGGTAAACAGCTACGTATGCAGTGACGTATGGTCTGGCTCTAACTTGGCTCCTTGCCAATAGAAAAGCAACCAGTTCCTGGATTGGAACCAACTAAGCACTGGCTCTAGCACCAGCACGGAAGTCACACTTTGTGCTTCTCGGTGGAAAAGGGGTATTAGAGACACTCACATTCACACCTACGGACAATTTAGAGTCACCAATTAACCTCAACATGTTTGTGGACTGTGGGAGGAAGTTGGAGAACCCATGCTCCATGCAGAAAGATCCCAGGCGTCCCTAACCGGGACACGAACCCTGAGATCTTCTGTGAGTCGACGGTGCTAACCACCAAACGACCGTGTAGCCCTGTTAGCAATTTACAGACTCAAATTATACTAATTCACTGAGGGATAAACCACCTGCCCAAGTGCGTGTCTCCACTGTGCTGCCTAAAACAGCTCTGACCCATCAGGCCATGGATACAGGACCTCTGGGGGTGTCCTGTGGTGTCTGGCATATGGGCAGCAGGTCCCTTGGGTCCCGTGGGCTGCAGGGTGAGGCCTCTGTGGATTGAGCTTGTTCTAGTAATCCCACACATTCTGCACTGGATTGGGATCTGGGGTTTTGGAGGCCAGGCCAAAGCCTTGGGCTCTTTTTTCTGCTCCTTGAGCCGTTTCTGAACAGTTCATGGAGCGTGGCGAGGTGCTGCTGCATGCCACTGACCATGAGGAGTGTAATCACCATATTAGGGAGCTTGGTTGGCTGTAGGAATGGTTAAGTGGGCGGCAAGTGTCAAAGTAAAATCCATATGAATTTCACGACACAAGGTTTCCCACAAGAACATCGCATTGAGACAAGATGATCAATGTTGCTCCCTTCACCTCAACATTCAGTTCACTTCCAGTTAACTGCAAAATGTCTTTTTCTATAAGGCGAAAGTATTCTGTCTAAAAGGTTTTAAGGGCGAGTTGCAGAACTTTTAGGACTATCTGCTATTTTTGTTAGAAGTTGAAACATCCATGAGCTGATCTGGGCTAAAAATCACAGTTTATCATATAATTTGTTTTTTTCCAACAGCCATGCCAAAACATCAAAAGAGCATCTAAAAGAAGAATCACCGTTTAAAAAAATGTCCCCGAAACGGAGATATTTCTGCAGTCAGCAGGGCCAGCACTACCCTGCCGAGTTGTTTGTACATTTTCTCAGCTTTTTTTCCTTTCAAACTCATCTCTCTCTTTTCTCTTCTACTGACAAATCTTCTCAATCCTCCTTCTCATCCTGTGCCCTGTATTGTATGTTTGTCCTTCACTATTCTGTTTCCAAAACGTCTGTGGCCCTGGCTCAGGGATTGTAGCGCAAAGAAGCACAAATATATCAATTTGTATGCACACACACACACACACACACTCACACACACCACCTTGCCATTTAAGCCGTTCTGCAATGTTAAAACCTGATATCACCTTTAAGCTCATTTCAGAGTAGGAAATAAAATAATAATAGAAAAAAAATTTGAATATTGTACATCTTCACAGGATTCGGCTGACTGCGTGCGGAAGACTTCACATCTTTTTTTTTTGGCCAGCAGACACCCTCCTCTCCTTGCCCTTGTCAAGGTATAAGAGAGAGAGCGCCAGAGATAGAAAAAAAGTGAGAGAACAAAGTCATTTTTGTCTCCACCCAAAAGCACCATCCCACCCTTCCCAATTTTTTATTTCTCTATTGTGTTCATCCCGCTATTCTGCACTTATCTGTGCTTGGCTGAATGAACAGCTCAATTCAAAGGCATTACTATGCAGAGCAGAGGGCAGAAGGCAGGATCGGGAAGAGAGGAGAAGGATGAAGATGAGGAAAAAGCTGTGGATGCTGAACACCTTGCAAAAGTCTGCCTAGTGAACCATTTAATTCCCTCTACTCCAAAGTCAAATCATTAACCAGCAAACCAATGAGTAATTGGAAATGTATGTGTGTCACTGCATATGGTGTTACGTTGGGGTCTGGGTGTGTGCGCGTCTTAGGCAACTTAAGAGCTTAGACACTTTGACGTTTTGTTTAATCAAGAACTGAGGTAATTTGCGGCAACAAAGGCCACAAAGTGCCCGAGGCGAGTTTCAGATTTTGCTCAGCATATGTGCGTGTGTGTGCATATGCTTCCACGGATTTGTGTGTTCCCATCCGCAACTTTTACCCCAAAACTGTTTGATATTTATGGTATGTACAGTTCGTTAAAGTGCTTTAAATAAAAAAAGTAAAAAAAGGAGCATTGCCTTAAACTTGCGTGTTACGTTTGGGAATCCTTAGTAGATTCAAACTGAAAAATATTTACTCTTATTTTTCATATTCCTGTGAGGTTGTGCATGAAGTTTAGGAATATTTAAAACTGAGCATGCTGTGTTTTTAAAAAGTTTGCGCGGAAAACCTTGGATGTGAATCAAAACAGCACAGAGCTGTCACATGATTTTAGCAATCCATGAGATCAGTGGGGGAAAAGCAATGAGAGAAAACTTGACTTGGAAAACAAAAATAATGAGGGAAGCTGAGAGCCAGCCAGTCTCCTTGCTGGCCATTTGGAACACCAGGGCTGCTGTCATTCAAGAAACAACAAGCCAATCACTTTACTACAGCTGGTCAACAAATACCCCTGTGGTCTGCTCTGTCTCACACACACACACACACACACAAACACACATCGCCTTGCCATGTAAACAAGATACACATGCATGTTGGCGTGCTCCTGCCCATACACCCGCCCTGGCAAGCATCACGCTCACGTACATATACAGCCATTATCTAACAGCTCGACAGCTCTCCCTCATTGCTACTCCTTGCTTGCTTACTTACTCTCCCTGGCTGCATGTTTTTCATTTCCTGAATGTGTGTGTCTTTGTGTGTGTCAGTGAGTATCTATCAGTGTGTGTGTGTGTGTGTTTGTGTGCTTGTCTCTGTTTTGACAGCCAAAGACAGGCCTTTCCAGAGAACAGATCTCCAGATACTGAGAAACAACAAGTGAAAGCTATTTTCTGGCATTTGCTTGTTGCTGCTGGACCCTTTGTTAGACCAGCCCAGAGTCAGGGCCATTGTATGTGTGTGCGTGGATATGTGTGTGTGTGTGTGTGCGTGTCCCTTCCGAACAGGCAGGGGAAATCAGTCCGGCCTGGTCTGGTCTTTTGTTTTTATTGACAAGTGTATGGGACAAAACAGAAGGGCCATAGAGAAATTTGTGTTTCTGTGAAGCCCTGTGGGCTGTTGTGTTTGTGTGAGTATGCGCCTTTTGCTGTGCCAAGAAAACAGAGCAAACTGTAGTAATGCTTAATTCAAATCATGAATCTTTAAAGTGTTTTAAAGTAGGGGGTGGGAGGGTGTTAATCTGGCCCCCTGTCAAAACCTATGTGCACCACACCATGACAACAGGCCTGACTGAACACACACACACAGGGAAAAAAAAAAAAATCGGCTCAATGGGAGAGA